CAAACTCGTGTAGAAGCTTTTAAAACAATATATTTGTACGTTATATTTCATTCTTAACAGTTTTCCTTTGAACAAGTATAATAATAGCATAATTATACCAACAACAAAAAAACACCTAAAAAACCCAAAAAGCTTCAGTGTGAACAAGCCTATTCCGTATAGCCATTGCAATGACGATGCTTCCATAATGAACAGGTAAACAAACAAAATAATATTTTTTGAAGAAAAAGCACACGCCTTTTGCTAGAAAATGGAGCTACAGGCCTATCGCACGGATGTTAAAAATACAAATATATGTACATACATATTTAAGGAGCTGATCGAAAAAGTGTTACACCTCTAATGCTATAATTTAGATCCGAAGAAGGAAACAGGCTATCAGTCTCAACTTGGGAAGAGTGGGATACAATGATGTACAGCAGCCCAGCGGAAAGACGGAGATAAATAATATTTTACAGAATAGATTTTCCGGTAAGGGAATTGAACTCATATCTCACAGTAAACAGTACACCACATTAAAGAATAAATATAATGAAATGTTAAATCAAGATACTGGCGCATTCTAACTCCGGTGAGGCAACTTTGGATGGAACTTTACATCAGCAAAACGTATGTCAACACAACAAACGGACTGACATGTTGTATTACAAAAACAATGTGCCTGAACATGCTCACATTTCAGGCTATACATGTGTGAGTGTGTGTGTGTGTGTGTGTGTGTGTGTGTGTGTGTGTGTGTGTGTGTGTGTGTGTGTGTGTGTATATATTATCGACGGTGAAACTCGCAAACTGTGTTAGTTTAAAAATAGTAAAATCATTTTTTTCTATATTTATCACCATAGAGCCACAAAGCACAAAATAACTTTTATTTTACTGGATCAGGATCATGATTTTAAAAAAATTGTTTGGTAGCTGGCCCACTAAAGTGCCATCCAAAGTTTCATGGGAGTAGGTAAATTCCTGAATGAGCTAGAACTTTTTTAACGCGGTCAGACTGTTGATCCTGTTCAAAGTACACTGTGTGGTTATACCGTAGTCTATATCAAGTGCTTTATAAGTAGACCCCTATCTTTCTTTTTTGCTTTGTGAGGCAATAGTATGAGCCGGATGTCAAAGATTCAAAGAGGGCCTAGAGGTAAAGGTGTTCGCCTCTCATTCAAAGGCCCCGGGTTCCAATCCGGGTAGCGACCGAAAAAATAATGTTCTCTAAAACAGTCTCTTCTCACCTTCTTTCCTGCTCTCTAGCAATGTTCTGTCATCTGCTTTTGTCTCCACTTTCTGCCCCCACCCCTTCATCTCCCTTGCCTCCTCTGGGCTTCTGACTCTTTCTGCAGCCATTCTGCTGCTACATGTACTACTTGGCTTCTTCTTATTGCCTGCTGTCTTTCAGCCACACCCCTGATCTTCTGATAGAAAAGATCTACACTTCGCCTTCTCGGACAAGGGTGAAAAATCTTGGAGTGTGCAAGTTGCGCACGTTTAAGACGCCTTGGTGGTCTAAAATCGATAAGAGTAGGTTTCGGCCGCCACCCGGGCAAAATTCCAAATTTCATACAACCTGAAAATGTTTAACGTGTCCCGCGCGCTTATATGACCTTATGCAGTTACGAGCACCGTAAAACACATAAAAAAAAAAAGTTCAAACCTTGGACCTTCATCACCTGGGGAGAATGACAAAACACTAAACCACCATAACGCAGGCCCAACATCTACAAAATAGAACATTATTTCTTTTTTTTCTACATTGATTGTTGACAAAAACCTGAAGCATCAATTGAAATTACTTTTTTAATTAACATTTTTGAACATAGCATAGGCGCACAATTTTATTCTAGGGAAAGACTTAGTTAAACTGTGTATCTCCCTAACCGTGTACGTTGCTGTCAATTTTGGATCACAAAACGTGTAAGTCTGTTTTTATAGAATCTAATCAAAATTTAGCCTTTAAAATTACCTAATTATTCAAATGTAACATCCTATTATTTTCAGAATCGAAAATACAATAATACGTTGGTAAAAATAACATTTATACAGTTTTTTGCGTTTATCTCAAAAGTAATATTTCAGGATTTAAACGGTTTGTGACTTTCACTGTCTATATTATATGTGTCACGACGCAGTGGAATCAGGCTCTCGTCAATTTGGGGGCATATGGAGTTATTGGTGTCATCTTAAAGCTTGTCCATTTGCCTTGTTTTGGACACAAGTCAAGATTTCGATGATTGAAGGAGGTGGGGTGGCCTGGTTTCACAGGTAAAGTTACCGAGAAAATGGCTGCCAAAGATGAGTTTTCCTATGCTTGAGAGCCCATGGAAACTGAAAATTAACATCTCTTATGCCTTAAATCAACGTTTTGTAGCACAATCCCCACAGAAATGTGTTCTTTGAAAGGCGAAAGGCATGAAAAGTGTTGATCCAAAAAACAAAAATTCTATAGAAATTCTCAAACCAGCGGAAAAATGCCAGTTTCTTCACTTTGACTATTTTGACGAGCTGCCTCACATATATATGCACATATACACATTAACAAGCAATGTCTGGCTCGTTTTCATGCACTATGTATGGAAATACATATGCACACACGTGAACGCACACGCGCACACACACACGCCACACAAAAATGTGCGTACATACACATATGCAAGTTACGTTTTATGTAGTGTCTACCTTCCTCATGCCATGCAACACAAAGTGAAACACTGGATTGAAACTCAGTTAAAAAAGCAAAACCATACAGTAGCACCCAACAAACATTTGAACACACTGCGGTTGAGTGGGGGTTGGGATGGAATGGCGGATTGTAGGCAATTTTTTGCAATACTAGAAGCAATTGCTTAACTCTTTAGGTGCCACGATTTATCAGCATACAAGCAAATGGCATGGAGAAAGGCACTGAAGTATCGGAGGTTGGTATAAAAAGAAATTTAAACAAACAGATATCCCTCTAATTCTGAAACTCTATTTCACACTCTATCATATACATGCACAAAATTTTGTCCATTGTTATCGTATCAATTTAGAGACTGCTTAGCTACCAGTACTGATGTTTTGCAAAGAGTTAAGATGAATAAAAAAGATTGGAAGATAATTTCATAAATATGGACAAAAAATAGTCATGAGTGCGTAGACGTTTTTCTACTGTATAAAAAACATTAATTTTTAAAATAAATATAATAAAACCCACCATAAGTACCCCCACCATTACATGAAGTCCTCATAACACAAGCTTATTATGTTCAGTAACAAAAAAATGTTCTAAAGAATACTGTAATAATACAAATCAACACTCTCTGCCACCAGCAAAAGGAACCAAATGGTATTTAAGTATTACGCTTCATTTGTAACTCTTTCCAAAATGGGACTTTTCCAATCATACAATTTACGACACCTAGCTGAAAATAGTTCATCATAGAACTTGCGTATTCTTTGATACAGGCATTGACACTGTCAGAAATATTGCACTAAAAAGCAATAAACTTATCATTTGCTGTACTGACAATTTGAAAATGGGAATGGATATAAAAGGGCAGTCAATCAAGAACAACTTGACTTGCTGGGACTGCAAGGTCTGGTTTGAGCATGCTGTAATTCAAGGATATTATGCGATAAACAAACTGAATGTTTAAAAAAGTGTTAGTTCCAAAAGGAATGAATTACAAAAAAAACAATTTGTATTTTCAACAAAACCAACTTGCCATAAGTTGTGAGCAAGGCATCTTTCTTCAGTCACCCTAGGCACCCTTGAATGGCATGATGTATTATACACAGAGCTCTGATTAATCATTTGTTCTTTTGCTCCACTCTCTCTTTCACTTGAAGTCATTGTGTGTGACCTAAGACATCAATGTTTGAACACCTATACCTGTGAAAAACTCTCCTGCACCCCTGCCTTTTTTCAAGAAGTTTAGACTACTGCTTTTACACAATAATATATTAACATACCTATCATAGGTTTTATCATTATATTATGTCTGTAATATGATTTTGTAATCTACCTACATCTTCCCATTGGTAAAGCTCATAATGAAGACGCTTAATGTTCCCTTTATGTCAACTCCGTCCTAGCATATATTCAAGTTCTGAATAAAAATAAATGTAAAGATTACAGACAGAAAAGATTTGGGACTAAAAAATCAGTTTGAGGAATTCAACTTTTTTGGGGGGTTAAAAAAAAAAAAATACTTTATTGACCCTAAGTTATTATCGTCAGTGTCACAAACTATCCACTTAAATCCGTTTGGCTCTTTACACCAGAGACAAAAAAAAAGTTTTACATGTGTCGCTCCTATCTGGAATCATGAAAAGGAAAAAAATTGTAAGCCTTGACCATAGCATTAAACTGCATTTTGGTGATGTCGAAAAGTACATCTTTCAAAGAGCTTTGTGAGGGTAAAAAAATAGAAAATTCTTTAAATTTGGACTTAAGTAGACTGCACAGCGAAAAGAGTCTGCTTTCAGACGTATCATATTATACCATATCACATCATACCATATCATGCCATATCATACCATATCATATCATACCATATGTGTCACAATGCGGTGGAATCTGAAAGCTGATTTATTTGCCTTGCTTCCAATGAAATCAATATCGATTTATCTTAGAATACTTAGATAGAACTCAAGATATTTGCGAAAGAAGGAAGTGAGGTCGCCTGATTACAGTGCCTAGTGGTGAAATTAGCAAGAAAACAGCCGCCAAAGTTTGGTAACTATAATAGATAAAGAGTCTTTGAAAATTGAAAAAATATTAAATATTTTGTGCCTTTAATCAATGTTTTTCCTCAAAATTCACATGGAAATATATTTTAATATTTAAGCCAAAAAATATTGATTCTATAAAAATTTCTAAACTGGCAGCAAAACACCTGTTTCTCCGATTTCAGTATTTTGACGAGCACCTGATTTTACCATGCTGCCTCACATATTTCATATCATATCATATTCTCTTTATTTTACTGTTTCTCTCTCTCCCTCCCTCCCTCCCCTCCCCCTCTCTCTCTCTCTCTATCCCTCCCTCCCCTCTCCCTCTCCCTCCCCTCTCCCTCACCCTCTCTCAAAACTGAATATATAACATGAATACTGTATAGATAAGCAGAGAGCACAGTTATAAAATAAAAACCGAAAACCACATGTTGCATCTCATGGCAACAATTACTTAGTTGGAATTGATGAAGGTCAAATAAAGATTTTCTAAAGCTCCCTGGAATTTTTTTTAGTTGCAGAGCCACCTGCTTCCCTCTGAAAATATATCTTCTTTTTTTTTTTCGGGGAGGGGGGTTCCTTTTACATAATACTAAAAAAATGATTTTATAACTTGCTTAGACTTAGGTTTTCTTTTTCTAAAGTTTTTCACTCATACTTTTTAAAATTTACTGTAACATTTCTAGTCCGCACAGAGACACAATACACAAGAATGTCAACAATACATGATAGAAAAAATACATATATATGTTCCTATTCACATGAAACTTGTTCACCCAATTAACAAAATACATCTAACTATACTTGTTATTTTTAGCTCATTTGATGTTTGAATATGACATTCAAGTTTTACTAATAGTACTGTTGTCCATATGATTATTTTGTTCAAACAAGTTTTCCTTCATACTGAGTTCCAACTCCTTTGCCTTTTCTACATTTAGCTAAAGGAGTTGATCTTCACACCATGTATTGAAATTTGTTAATTATAGATGAGACCTTTCCATGGTTTTATGAACGTTTGGATAGAGTCATCAAATATTTCACTTAAAGAGCACAAATGCTTTCCAGCATAGCTCTGCAAATGATTTTCAAAAGAAGTCAGGTATTTAAAATGTCGAAAAATATGCAATCATTTAAGACAACAAGAAAAAGATGTGTAAGTAAAAGGTTTTTAAAGTTTCAAGCAACATCTGTCTTTTATCAACAAGTTTTGTTTAAAGGTTAATTTTTAAAAACATCTATAAAGTAAAACAAACGTAAGTGTATACAACCATCTTCATTTTTACATAAAGCGTAAATAATTATGTAAACCATTATTTATAAAAAAGAAAGTAACGTAGTCCTTTACTTACAAAACATTAAAGAAAGTACTGGTTACCGCTATTTGTCATTTTATCAAGATGAAAATGGGGGCTCAGTAGCTCAACAAGTATGGCATTTGCCTATCAACCTGGTGAAGATCCGGAGTCAAGGCAAGCTTCCTCTCTGTATTTTGATTGGAATTATACAAATAAATTGTACACAAAAAAGTTACAGAACAACAAAATTGCTTCAAAACCATGTGATGTACACTGGTAGTATGAGACAAAATGTCATTTGTTCGAATACTTGCTCTGAAAATACTTTTACAGTAAATACTGTAACATCACACCAATGTAAGTCTGTTTTCTAGCAAAGATGTGCTAATGCACAGCCATACATCAATAAAAACTGTTTTGCATAAAATGTTAAATCATGAAAGCAAGGAAATACACATATAATTGGGTATCGAGCCCCGTACAAAATAACCAATAAGTGTTGGACAGAGAAGCCAGCAGAACTTCTCCTCTATAGCTAATGGAAAAAGAGACCAAAAGAGGAGGAGCACCACCATCTAGGACGTAGATAAATCAAAAGACAGGCATAGAAAATAAAGAGATGAAGAAAAAAAAAGAGACAGAGAGAAGGGGGGAAGGGGGTGTTAGGGAGTTGATAGAACAAAAATAGTGAAATAGAGACAAGAAAATCAAGCACTTTTAAGAGAAGGGGGTCCATCTCCCTACTATTTCATAGACTTACTCAACAAGTGTTGTTAACCCTTTGAACCCTCTCTACCAAAATATCGGTATGAACGCATAGCGGCAAACACCCTGTGCTACTGAAATATTAGTATGACACACCCACCTAAATATATGACATATATGTTAACAGAAGTAGAAAACAAATACGAAACAGCAGCATCAATGTATGCTAGCATAGTGATATTACAACCAAAACAAATGAGATGAAAAGACAAGATCATCATTAAAATGAGCTGTACAAAAAATGTACCTAAAAAATTAATGAAATTACTCTGGAGCCCAGGGTAAACCATTTAAGGCTGAGGAGCCTTTAGTTCAAAGGGTTAAGATTTACACGAGCAACATGCAATGTATGAGATTATACGCTAATCTGATACATGTCTTCTTTTTCCAGGACTTTGTCATCCTTCAAGTTTTGTTCTCATGTATTAAGAAAAGAACCCTCCCCCCCCTCCCCCCCATAAACATCCCCTCTAGTGTCAACGTGATTCCTAAATAATTTTCAAAATCTACAAACGCTCTTATTTGAAAATGTGTGGAGCACATGGCAAAAGAATAACAGTACACACATGCATCATAACCAATTTCGAAGTAATGCTATGTTTACAAGCTGAACTACAATGTTATTTTAAAAAATATTGTCCAAAAGATAAGCTAGGAATGCTTTTCAAATGAAATTGAGATCAGCCAAGTGAGTTAAAATCTGGGAGAAAAAAAAAAGAACTTTGTAGGCAGGTCTATGCTGTATCCTGAGAACTGTATATATTGGTACAAAGGAAAGTGAACACATCCTCATTATCAGGAGCTCAAGGAAAAGAGAAATATTGAAGCTTCTGGCCCTTTCAGTACATACAGAAAACAAAAGGCTGGAGCCTCACAAAGTGCCTACATAAAAACATATTGAAAACCTCAAGAACAGTCACAGTAGCCTTTTTACATACAAAAGTATAATCCATTATGTTGACTGAGTGAGACACAGCTAGAAAGTCAAATTGCAAATTCATAAGTTTGTAAAATATATAGAATTGTAATAATCACAAACGACCAAATACAAGGACAGCAGACTAACATACCTCATGTTGTATGTCCTCTCAGAAACAGGGATAACATACTGGAATGAGCTGGCTTGCCAAAGGAAAAATGTGAAGTCATAAGATTTTTCCCTCAGAAGGTGGTACACACAACTATAAATGGGCACCTTAAATTTCCTAACTTTATAATAAGATGTATATACAATGACATTTACAAGGGTCACAGCTTTCTTGAGATAGCATACATGGATACATGAAATAAACAACTTTCAGATAAAGTAAGTACATCGTGAATAAAATAATATATTAAGTCAGCATAGGCCTATGACAAAATAAAAACTTCTAAATATTTTTCGTAATTCACTAAATTACGTAATTATATAAAAGTATATAAATCATTTTTCCACATCTATAGATGAAGGCAATGATCAGCACACTACAAAGTTATATAGAGGTGCCAACAGGCTACTGAAAAAAATCTTGAACATGCAACCGCACACTCGGCTACTCAAAATGTACTAATCAAGTTGTCTAATATATGTACATCTTGTATCCAGACTAATTTTATGAAAGTGCAATATGGCAAGCACAAAGAGATTAAAAATATAAACAGATGTATAAACAGGAGCACATAACAAAGTCTGGACAATTTCAGTGATCCGAATTTCCACATTTATCCAGAAAATCGGCACCTCTGGCTATAAGTTGTGTCTATTTAGGTGTCAATCGTCTTGAGAATTGTCTTGACTTTACTCTTCTTTTGGCCATCACCTTCTACTGCCTTCCCAGGTTCTTAACTAGATCCTTAACTAGATCTCTGATGAGTTCAAGACTCTCTTGCTAATATATCTATATCTTAGGAGGAGGTGACTGTCTTTCAGCTAAAAAAAACATCAATAAACTCTGTGCAATACACACCTACTAAATATGTAATAGAATTATACTTTTTATGGTTATTGGGTGGGTTTAATGCCTCTTTCAGTGTTGTAAGGTTAATTAAGAGGGGGTACCTTGGACTTTCACATCCATCTCCAATAGAACTGAACCAAGTCAGTGGAGAATCGTGAAAACTCCTCAAGGACACCCGAGGTCAAGAATACCACACACGAGATTTGAACCAGGATCATCTGCATCATAGCCCAGTACGATACCAGCTCAGCTATTATTATAAGCCTACCCAAAAATCAGTTGAAAGTTCTGTTGTATGAAAAAATTGATTGATCACTGATTTTAGTTGTTAGAGAGGCAAAACATCTTCATTGTCAAATTGCGAAAGTTGGAATCTGGTTATTTAAGTTAGAAAAAAAATTAAGTAGGAGAATACACTACAGCCAATAATATAAATAATACAGGTCATAATCAGCAAGGGTTCTAAAACATAATCCTTTGTCAGTGGTAAGCAAAGCCCACCTAAAGAGGAAAAAAAATATTACAGACCTTATGTACTGTAACTAAAAATAGGGAATTGGGTTTTCTGTTGCCTTTGCAAATTACTTCCTACACTTGCAGTTGTGAAACAAAAGCTTACAGTGTGGCATTACTAAGTGGTGAAGGAATAAACAAATAGGCACTGCAAAAGACAGTACCATCAAAAATGTTTCATAAGCGCCCATATTAGAAAAAATGAGAACAGGTATTGTATGTTTTAGGTGTAATTCCCTTTTCAACACTGGTTTTTCAAGAGACAGGACTGAACTCAACATCCATCTCCTATAGGAATGTGCCAAGCAGGATGAGAGGTTCAAAAACTTCACAAACAATCCAAGTTCAAGAATGACCCACAGGGGATTCCAACCAGGATCTGCTGTGCCATAGCTCAGCATGACACCAACTGAGCTTGAGAGAACAGAGTAGTAGCAAGCATCTATCTCTTATCTGAACTTGTTGAATTGCATCAGCAATATTGCCTGGAAAAACAAAGGTCAGCCTGAGTATTTAGCAATGTAATGATTATACAAAATTCCGGCCAACAGCCTCACATAAGGACTAATATGTCCCTAAAGTAACAAACAATGCATTCACCTCTATAAAGTCATGAACTGAAGTTTAGACTGGCCAGGTACAGTTTCAGCTTGGTCACTGGGTCCTCCTCATCCAGGCTCGACACAATTGCACTCGATGATGCTCGACACACAGACTTATTGTTGTCAAGGAAGTCACTGAGTGCCTGGAGAGGCTGATGATCCTCAGCTCGAAGAGGCAACTCCAGATCCTTCAGTTCCACATCGTCGTCTGTGCCCGACAGAGCCTCGGACATGATCTCAAACAGGCCTGTATTATCATCACCATCATCAGCAAGTACTTCATTATCCTCATTCCCTTCAGAAACAGGATGTTCAGACACCTCTTCCGAGTCAGATAGCTTGTGAGACACGGGGGATGATGTAACGGAGGACAACGTAGCATTCCCCTGTAGAGCCTTCTTCATACTAGAAGCATCAGTATACAAACCGCAGGACAGAGTAGAATTCCCCTGCTGAGCCTTCTTCTCGGTGAATGCATCAGAATACAAACCATCACCATCTTCATCACAAGGCTCCTCCACTGCCACATCACTGCTGCATTTTCCTGCTACGTTATTCCCAAACGATGGCTCAACGTCTTCGTAAATACCCGTCACATTCTCTGAGGAGTCAGGCACTGAGTCATCAGGCAAAGAATACTCACTGCTTATACTGACAGTCTCCTTTGACTGTTGAGGAGGATCTGAGACAGGTTTGACTTTACTGTTGGAGATGGTAGCATACACACTGTCATCATTATCAGAAGAAAAGTAAAATGTTGAAGAGGAATTAGGCCTGTTTCTCATAGCACCATCACTGAAACAAAAAAAAGATACAGGAGATGTAAAACAGTGACTTTCAATTTCTAATGGAACATGTCGACCACATAAGTGTGCATCTGTGTATGGGTACAGAAGATGCATGCATATCAAAGATTCAACTTCAGTTACATTCTGTATTCTGAAAAGACCAAAGTAATGAATATTAACCACAAAAAACTCCAAAATATTGATTTCAGTAGAACAGATTTGGAATAAGTTCAAAATTTTGAATACATATATTAAGGTTCTCTGAAAGGGAATAACTGCTCAGGTCTGTGAGATGTCAAGATGTATGTTAGTGTTTTAGCGCCTATAAATGGCTGCTTGCACTGTATGCTTCCCAGGAAGTTGAGGTTGTTTCAGAATGCTCTCAGGTCTGCCGGGGTAATAGTATAGATTGTGAAGCACATAGAGCTTGCTGTTCAGAGGGGATTTGCGCTTTACAAATGCTATCTATTATTATCATTAAGACAAGAATTGGGATGGCCAGGCATAAGACAGCTTGAGATGAGACCGTTTGGAAAGACCGAAAAAAGTATAGTAGAAAGATCTAGAAATCAATATTGTCAAAACACCAATTTAGCCTGTATTATTGTATGGATCAGAAGCCTGGACAGAAAAAGCTTGGAAAGACACAATATTAATGCATCCGAAAAGTGGTTGAACAGGCGCCCACTAAGAATCAAATGATCAGACAAAAGAAATCAATGTGTTATGGATAAACTCTCACTTCAAAGTACAAAGAAAAAAGTGTAAGCAAAAGTATAAAAAAACAAATTACAAGTCGACCATTCTCAGAGGCAATGTTGAGGGCAGAAGAAAAAGGCAGACAACCAATGTCCTATATCTTCAACATTAGTGAGATTAACAGTAGAGGGGGGTTTATGAGAAGCCTTTGAAAGCAGTTAAAGCAGAGAAAGATCGTGAGCCCTTGTAGCAGCACTACAGAAAGATTACAGATGGGGCCCATCCATTTGATTAGGGTTTTTTCCCTAAACACTACAACAAAAGATATAAAGTATCCCCTGACCATACACCAAGCAGACAGAAAACGGGGGCTCTCGTGGCCTAGAGGTTAAGGTGTTGGCCTCTCATTCAAAAGGTCTCGGGTTCGAATCCGGGTAGTGATCGAAAAATTTTCTTCTCTAAATTTGTCTCCTTTCACCTCCTTTCCTGCTCTCTAGCAATGTTCTGCCCCCACCCGCTCACCTCCTTTGCCCCTTCCTCTGGGCTCCTGATTCTTTCTGCAGCCTTTCTACTGCTACTCCTTCGCTTCTTCTTACTGCTGTCTTTCAGCCACACCCCTCCTAGTCTTCTCGGACAAGGGTGAAAAATCTTGGAGGGCCCGTGTGCAAGTTGCGCACGTTAAAGATCCCTTGGTGGTCTAAAATCAATAAGAGTAGGCTTCGGCCGCCACCCGGGCAAAATTCAAAATTTCCTACCAACTGAAAATATTAGATGTGTCCCTCGCGCTCATATGACCTTATGCAGTTGCAAGCACTGTAAAAACAAACAAAAGACAGAAAACATTCCTGGCCAGATCATAATATTCAGATTCTTCTCGAATGGACCACAATTTTCTGCATTTTGTTTAACTGCAAAACTCCCTGCCTTGCAGTAGCTGTTAAGTACATCCTCGAAATTTTGAAACTATTTAAATGAGAGCACCTGTACAAATGTGAACAAAGTTCGTAGAAATCAACCCTTCTCATCCTGCCTTCAGTAAGGTAAGATTGATGGATAAGATAATAATTTACTGGTCTCCACAAAGAGAAAAATTTGCTGCAGCATGGTAAATGCATACACACACAACATCAACACACTCGTTCGTTCATTCATTCACTCACTCACTCATTCACTCTCACACACGCACACTCGCTTATACATATGCACACACAAACACACACACACACAAACACATACACTCTGCGCCCAAAAACAAATGTGTACAATCTGCTGTTGACATTAGAGTGACTTACCCAGAATCTTTGTGCACCATGGCTGTCCTCAAAGCTCTCACCCAGGACTCACAATCTGCTGAGGTTGGGCAAATCTGAATGAGGAGGGAAAAGCCAAAATGAGGTAAACAAGAGTACTGAGTGTGTCGACAGGTACAGAAGGGTGTAGGGGGTTCTTGTGGCAAGGAGGTTAAGGTATTCGTCTCTCATTTAATAGGTCCCAGGTTCGAATCCCAATAGCAAGGGAAAAATTTTCTTCTCTGAAATGTTCTTCTTTCACCTCCTTTCCTGCTCGCTAGCAATGTTCTATCGTCTGCTTTCGTCTCCACATTCTGCCCCACCCTTTCACCTCCTTGCCCCCTCCTCTGGTCTCCTGACTCTTTCTGCAGCCTTTCTCCTGTTTCTCCTTGGCTCCTTCTTACTGCTGTCTTTCAGCCACATCCCTGATCTTATGGCAGGTAAGACCTACGCCTAGCCTTCTCAGACAAGGGAAAAATATCTTCAAGGTCCCGTGTGTAAGTTGCACACATTAAAGATCCCTTGGTGGTCCAAAATAGATAAGAGTAGGCTTCGACCGCCTCCAGCGCAAAATTCAAAATTTATACCAAGTGAAAATGATTGGTGTGTTCTGCGCGCTCATACTCATATGGCCTTATTCGGTTGCGAGCGTCGTAAAATACTTACTGACACCCCCCCCCCCCCCAAAAAAAAACAAAACAAACCAGGTGGGTGTAAACAGAAAGACTACCAGTCAAATAATAAAACAACTTTTATTTGAACTACTAATTCAACCCTGTCAACAGAAAATAAAAAACTCCTACATTAGCTCATAAAGAAAATGAAAATTAAAGATGAAAAATATATTTATATGTGAATATTATGGAATCAATTTAAAAGAAATTAATTAACGTGAGGCATCGTGGTGAACCAGGAGCTCGTCAAAATAATGTAATCAAAGAAAACAGCATTTTTTCTCCAGTTTGGCAATTTGTATCTAAATTTTGTTTTTTGGCAAACACCTTTTATGTTCATATGAAAACACATTTCCATGTGAATTTTACTGAAAAACCTTGTTTAAAGGCACAAAATAAGTAATTTTCAGTTTTCAAGGACTCTTAAGCTATTGAAGTTACCAAAATTTGGTGGCCATTTTCTCATTAATGTAACCACTGAAACCAGGCTACCCCACCTTCTTCATTTGTAAATATCTTGACTTCTATTCAAGCTAGAAGGATATTTTTTCATTGAAAGCAAGGCAAATGCATAAGCTTTCAGATGATATCAATAACTCCACATGCCCAAAAATTGACGAGTGCCTGATTCCATCACATCGTGACACAAATTAAGTTTCATTGAGCAACAGTTCATGGTGAGTTGGTTCCACAATGTTTTTACCTATGATATTTTCAACTGATGTTAGCCAATTTGTTCTGGGTTTTTTTGTCTTTAGTGACAGCTCAGCCTGGCAGCAAGGTCAAAACACTGAAGTAAGTAAGATGCCTTCAATTAAAATATTACACTGTATGTACGAGGGTTGATCAAAAAGTAATGAACGTAAAATATCTCAAAAACTTTTTAAAGTTATGGACCTGAGAATTTTAGTCCTTTGCAATATTCTCCTAAACCTTGTGTGCTGGGTTCCAGGCTTCACAGCCAGTTCTGGAAGATACAGCAAAAGTTGGCTTCTGGTACGCTTCCTTGCTCTCAATAGACAGCTCTTGCTAGATCCTGAATATTTTTCAACTTTGGTCAAGAAAGCTTATCTTTCAGAATATTTTAAAAAATCAGAAGCCACAGGAAGCTCAGGCAGAACTGCAGATTGGATGAGGCAAAACTTGGATCCCTAGCTCTTGTATGCACAAGAGTTGTGGCCCTTGTTTTGTGGGGAGCTGCAATGTTGCGAAGGAGCATTGTGCGATATGTTCCAATCTTTGGTCTCTGCTCATCAATGGCATTTTTCAACTGGGACAGTGCCTTTCATATGTAGTAAAAGGATGTCATAATAGTATTCTGTGGCATGACATTAATAGCAAATGGTACACTGTGATGTAAAAATTTCGTAAAAAGCCTCTTTCTGCTTCGAAATTCTGGCCACAAAACAATTTGAATAAATCCCATGTGGTCTAGTGACAATGAATTTAATGGACCCATGTTGTTCAAACATGAGGAGCAATTTTGTGGCACATCTCACCCTCTCTCTCTCTCTTTTTTATTCCTCAGTAAATGGGACATCCAAAATTCACACAAATTTTTTCTTACAGAGTTCTCCACAAATATTCTGCACTGACTCAAATGCAGGTCCAGACATGTCAGTAAGTTTTTATACAGAGGTACAAGGATCTTGCACAATACAGTGCCATGTAACACGAATGTGGCTCATAAAAAAATAGTGTCTCTCCCTTCACTAAATTCTTGTAGATCTACTTAATGACAAACTGTGTTATATGAACAAGCAGATTCTCCATAAACACACTGCATATTTTCATGAAGCAATTTAAGTGTAAAAATATTGTAGAAATGAATGTTTTCCTTTGTCAACTCCATCTTATTTCCTCGAAAGCGTAAAGCATCCTTTGTTGGTCACGTCATAAAATAATCAAGAGTGACTTCACATGAAACTCTATAGAGGTCGGTTTGAAAGAAAACATGATATCGAATAATGAACAGATTGCTTTCATGACTCAAGTCAATACGGTCTCTTAGCTCCTTGATGGCCACTTCCATTACTTTCTGATCCACCATTGCATACCCACTGAGTAACTGCCTTCTCTGAAGCTTCTCCTTAACTTAGGCTTGGACAGAGTGTATAATTAATTGCAGGGGGG